CCTTAGACTTCCATTATATATATATATATATCTTCCCTTTGCATAGTACTCTTTTCATTGTACTTCTAAGTTTCTAATGATTATAAGCATCAATAGTAATATTTTATCTCATTACTCTACCATCAATCTCTTTATTGATGCACAAGTAGTTTCTAGAGTCTCTGAACTACTTAGAATTTTTTTTCTTAATGATATTAAAAATTTTATCCCACATCATGTTGGGCTCAACTTTCATATAAAGCTAATTATTTTAAATGATTAATAATTTCTCATCATTTAAATTTCATCATCTTATCTTAGGGCATATATTTCTTCTAATTTCTTTTGTTCTACACCAAAGAAAGAAATTAATAATTCCTCTTCTAACACACCTTAACATGTTTTTAATCAAAAAAAAATTAAAAAAACTAAGTTTCTTCTAAATAAAAAAGATAAATGTTTATGATTTACGAGCTTTATTTATGAACATACTTGAGGGGTATTCTTTTTTTCAAAAAATTTATATGGAAAGTTTACATACATACCACATAATTCCTATGTATCTACATATCTGACACATAAAATTTCATATTTCATTTATAACACTTTAGTGTCCTAAACTACATGAGGAAGTGTATTTCATCGGTAAAAGTTAGTAATAGTGGTGTTTTTGAAGTAATATTAAAGATTTGAGATGTCTGCATGTAAATATGAATGCTTAAGTGTTAGATATGTAAATACACATAAGAATTGTTAAATACATAAGAATTGTGTAGTATGTATGCAAATGCCCAAATATATATTTGATATTGAGATATAGATTACTATAAGATCAAGTAGAGCTTCCCAAATTAAATATCACGTCCTCTTATAGTTTTCTTTAGTACTTTAGCTTCATAGTAGTAATACCTTCTACAGTTCATAGATGAATATAGCCTTAAAAAAAAAGAGTTGGCAAAAATATACTTCCAGCGATTCTTATTTCGAGTGTGAAGTGAAATTTTCCCCATAGAAGCAATTTAACTCACAAAAATTGTCAGAATAGGCTATAAACAACATCAAGAAAAGTTTCTTATGAAATACCAATAGAATGAAATGCATGACAAAAAGCAGCTCACCTCCTAGGCTCTTTGCAGCATCCTTGAGGCTCCCTGCAAAATATTTCTGCAGAACATTCAGGCTTATATGTTTCTCTGACGTACTTCTTTTTTTATCAGTTTGCTTTTGCGACCCACACTCTGCCTGCATACAACAACAACAACAAATCCTTAATCCCACTACACTTTGCCTGCATATGGTACAAAAAATGTTTAGTAGAAAAAAAAATTGTCAAGTTTCTACTTAATTTTACATATTCAAATCCATCAACGGTTGGATTTCTCCGTTATGTTTGAAGTAAATGCATATAGATAAGAATCAGTGCCAAAATAAAGATCGATACAGGATGCATAAGGGTCTAGGATTCATTAATGTAATCTAGGGTGAGGTGCACATTAAAAACACAACAAAAAGACAGAAAAATTCACAATCCCAAGATTATTAGCTTTGAACTTCAACAAATATTAATCACTTTTAATGCAAAAACAGCAAAAAGACTTATTTTATTCCATTCAATATTCATTCCAGTCAATATTGTAACAGTCGTAAAAATATAAAAACGTAATGAAAAACTGTGGACAAATATTAAATTTCAGCCATATTTGTCGATGATGAATAATGCACCTAGCACGAAATCCCTTGAAGCTGTGGTGCAAAACACGACAACACACGGTATTTTAAATTTATCACAAAACATTAAAAAAAAATTTATGAATAACTTAACAATAATTCTACAACATAAAAAAACATCTAATGTAAAAACTATCATGAATGTCATACACATAGCATACGAATGCTTTAGATTATATGTCACATAATAGTTATCATCTCTTTTACCAAGATGGGACAATTCCATGCTGGAAGTCTGGGCAAAACAATCACACTTCCTACATTTAAGCTAATTTCTAGAACAAAATGAATAGACGCATTTATTAAGCGTTCGATGTGAATTTGCAAGGTGGAGATAAAATGATATATAAGTCCATGACATTGGTTGCAAGTACACGAAATAAAATCAAATTAAAAATAAAATATGAAGTAATATCTGAGTATCTCAAAATTTTTAATTTATAAGAATTAATCTCAATATGTTAAATTTTTTTTATATAAAGCTATCTTTCTTGCAAGTAATTTCTCAAAGGTCTCCATAAAAAAATTTGGGCTTTATATGTACTATCACAATAAAATGATAAAATGATATATAAGTCCATGACATTGGTTGCAAGTACACGAAATAAAATCAAATTAAAAATAAAATATGAAGTAATATCTGAGCATCTCAAAATTTTTAATTTATAAGAATTAATCTCAATATGTTAAATTTTTTTTATATAAAGCTATCTTTCTTGCAAGTAATTTCTCAAAGGTCTCCATAAAAAAATTTGGGCTTTATATGTACTATCACATTAAGTTGTTGGTTTGGATCCCATATGTATGTTGTTAAAATTGCCAGAGAACTTCTAACTGTCATAATCTATAGCTACTATTTTTTAATCACATCCAAATAAGACAAATTATGCTAATCATACAAACGAAATAAAATATATAATGAAAACTAAAGCATAAATATGCATCCTAAGAGACACTTATGATAATGTCTAACCTAGTCATACATGACAAGATAAAGAAAACTTAAAAACATGCAAACCACACAAATATGAAATATTTATTTTTGACAAACAAGCATCTTAAAGGGAGCTGAAAGCTAAACCAAATGGTTTAAATATTAGTTGTGATGACTTACGCACTTTTAAAGTTGCCTAGATAAGCAACATTCTAAAGTTCAAGTTGCTGTTGAAGTATCACCATTAGCAAACTTATTTAAATAGTCACATAATTTCAATTTCTCTGCAAGACTCGCTTCATGAATTTATTTGTATGTAAAGAAATCAAAAACCTAAACTAAGATCAATTTCAATTTAATTTGTGGAGATTGCTCATTAAAAATTTATCAGAAGTCAAATCATTATATTTATCAATTGGTATACCAATCTGAACCGGAAAGGTCGCTTTAGGTTCTCAATAAAATGATTTCAATTTCTATTTAAAGCTCAAATTAACATTCATGAATATATTTAATTATAACTTCAAATGGAAACTCATATTCAACAACTATAATTAGTCTCATGACGTAATTGCAATACGATTATATTTCACCTTCAAATCCACAGTTAAATTAAGTCCAAACTCAATTTTAATTTTAAATTTGGATTATAGCTCTTGCTCATCTGTACGAGTAGGTTCACTTCTAAGAATAGATTTAATTTCACTTGAAAGTTCAAATTCTTATATGATCTCATGATTACCGATGAATTCAAACATAATTTCCATGTCTTGTGCAAAGATAAGCTCAAGTTCATGATATACTCTAATGTAGATTCATTGAGACTAGATGTGTATTCACATTTTGATTGTAACTACTTTTCATAATTTAATAAACCCCTTCTAGAGCATTGATGAACTTCATATTCATAGATAGAATTGGATTCAACTACACATAATTCTTTGTCATTGTATTTTTAACATACCTGAGAGGAGAATAAAATGATCTACCATAGAGGCTTTAACTTATTATTTTATTGATCATTTAGTTTTATTTCACTCAAATTTCCTCACTCTAATAATCTGTTAATTGATCCATTGTTGAACCCGACTTCTAGACATTTTGACATCATGCCTAAGAAAGTAATGATTTATCTTTAATAAATTTACTTAAGTGTAATCGACCTACCATAATACTTATAATATGCCATTACATCCAAAGATCTATTCAAAGACTAATATAAGATTTTTGGTAAATACTCGCTTACTATGCTTCAAATCTCTAGCCTAACACTTTTAATGAAACAAGTAGCAATAATAAAATACTCTCTAGGTAAATGATATTTGCTATAAGACTAATAAAGCCATCAGAATATTTATATTCAACATATTTAACTTACACGTAATGCTTTACTTGTTGTAATTGATCCCTATGCTCACTAAAATATAAACATTATGGCTTAACTTTCTGCTTCAGATCAACCCACATAGTTTTCGTTTCACTAGTAATACTTTCCTGAAATGATTGCACAAGGCCAACTAGTTTTAATTTAACATATCTGCCATTTAGAATTGAAGTAGTAATCCACATAGAATTATTTCAAATTATAAATTAAGCCTAAAAATGCATTAGCATTATATCTCCAATTGAATGTACTTCTAAGAGTCCTTGGGCTCAAACGTCCTGCACAATTCCTACAAAAGTCTTTTCTCATTTCATCAAACAACCTTTTCCCCAAGATATTTTGAATTGTTATCTTCATACATACACATCCTCAAAATAAAGAAAAAATTTCTCAAAAAGTAATCAAATATGTCTTTATTGGCTAATTTTCTAGAAAGAACAAATGCTAACATTCTCGCACAAGGAAGGTTTATATGTATGTTAATGTCACTCTAGATGAAAACAGTTTATAATTTGCTACTACTTACGCAACCCCACCCCGCCACAAAACCACCCCCGCCGGGCTCCCAACGGCTCCCAACCTCCCTAAAAAACAACTCAACTCTAAAAGCAATAACTTAGAAATCAAACTTGTACCGTAACCACCTTTTACTTAACCTCTACAAGTTATTCAAGTATAAAAACACATGGAAATCCAAACAACAAAATTAATCCATAAAAATGAACTATATAAGAAAACAAAAAAAAAATCTCAATTAAACATCTCTTTACACTTGTTCTTATAATACCAAAATCTCTCCCATAATTACCAATACTTTCATACAAGCCGATATACTATTTCTACATTAAAATCATATTTGAGGCTTTAAATAATGAGAATAAGATAATGCTATGAGAAAAAAATGTTGAATTTATGCTCAAATCATAGCAAAGAGCTTAAAATATATAAACTAACGCTTTATATTGTGAAATGACTCATTGTGACCCTCGGATTGTAATCCATGTGCTTTCTAAAGGTTCGTTGGCCCCTATTTATTTTTCCTTCTTTGTTGATTTTATTTCTATTTGATAATGTCCATAGGAATGCATGTATATCTCCCCTCATGTACAAAGAAAAGCAAATACTCTTGAGAGTATTTGCTTTGTTTTTTTTTTTTTTCTAAAAGGTGTTAGAGCTATGTTAGGGTGCTCTTTCCAATATTTGTTCTTATTCTCTATAGTTAGGATTTTGACTTTCGAAATTTATTCTTCTCAAGGATTACGGTTTTTAATTCCAACATTTGTTCTTATTATCTAAGGTTAAGGTTTCCACTTTCAACATTTATTTTAATCCTCTAATTTTTAGGTTTTCGCTTCCAATCTTTGTTATTATTTTCTAAAGTTTGGATTTTCACTTCCAACCCTATCCCTCCTGTTGAGTTCTTTTTTTATTCATTATGTCGAGATTCTAAGGGGGTGTTTGGCTACACTTTGGATTTACGTTAAATAGAATTTAATAAATTCTGAATTATCAAATCCAGATGCTATTAAAACCAGAATGGTGGTTGGTTCAGTTGAGGTTAAATCCAATTAAATTCAAAATATGTGTTTAGCATTATATTTCAATTGAGTTCTATTTTCTTCTTCCCAAGTTAAATCCGATAAATCCACCAAATATTTGGATTTAATAAAATTCGAATTTACGTCCAAAAATTGACAAAATGAAGAAGAAAATGGATTTAACAAAGCGCTGGATTTAGCTTCTTGTTATTTCATGTTTGACTGGATTTAAGTTAAATCGAGCGATAAATCCTACTAAAAATACGCTATCAAACACCCCCTTAGACTTCCATTCAAAAAAATTGACTATGATTAATGATAAAAATCATATCAAAGGAGAACTCCAAATAATTCAAACATCGTATCACTTGAATGCGAAACTTAAATGGTCCCAACTAATGAAGACATTTCCAAAAGAAAGGAAAAAGATTGAACACCTTATAAAATCTACCTCCGAAGCTCAAAGACCCAAAGTTGTTATTTTGAAAAGAAATTGATTCCATGATCATGCAGTGGTTGTGAAATATCATGCTATCGGGAATCAGTAAGGCTTTTATGTTTCTCCCAATAGAAATATGTTATGAATCTATTGAAAGAAACCAAAATGACACGATGCAAGCCGTATGAAACTCCAACTGAATCAAGACAAAAATTAGACTTTAATGAAAGAAATGACGTGGATACCTGACAATATTAAAGAGAACCAATTGGTTAACTTATTAACCAAAGGCTTTTGCAGTCCAACATTTAAAAATATCATAAGCAAATATAGAAAGGTGGATCTCTACGATCCAGTTTGAGAGAGAGTTTTGAATTTCTACTCCAATTATAGAAAAAAACTTAGGGCACATGAATCAAGGATTTTATACCGTTAAAACAGCCTCTCTATGACCCTCCGATTGTAATCTGTGTGATTTCCTAACAGAATGTCGGCCCCTATTTATTTTTTCCTCCTTTTTTGGTATTATTTACATTTTGTAATGTCTATGGGAAATGTATATATATATCTCCTTTTATACAAAAAAAAAGTAAAAACTTTTGAGCATTTTTTCATTGTTTTATCTCCTCCAAGAAATGAAAATCCTTTAAAGGTATAAAACATTAACTTTGGTAATACTGCCAACAAGAAAGAAAGAAACAATATATGAATGAGTCTTTACAAGAAAATAAAAATCATATGGCTCACAATAAAGGTATAAAACCTGACTAATAGCAAAAATTTATATTCAAATATATGTGATTAATTATCTTTAAATTTTTATTTCAGCTACTAAATTGAATGTTGTTCGAGTTCCCTTATCTTTAAATGTTAGAATGGATCGAAAATTTGATATAAAGAATGACTTCCTATATGGTGATCTAGAGATGGAAGAGTATATGATGACCCAACCAATGTTTGCATAAAAACTAAAATGCATTGTATCATTATAGCAAATTCCCAATGGCCATAATTCAAGAAGTTTGTCAAACATAGTCAACAAGATCATAAATCATTCATGAAGCATAGCTTCAAGGAGTCTCTGCACTAATAGCTTATGTCAGACATTATCGTGATTGGTTGTGAATAGGAAGGTGTGGAAACTATAAAAAAAAAAGGCAGCTCCAAGAATTTGAAATCAAAGAATTAGATAGGATGAAGTACTTTATTATTAGTATTGAGATTGCACACACTCGATATCGAAACTATATATCACAACAAAAATACATAACAATTCTATTAAAATAAACAAGCAAATTGGGAAGCAAGCTTATCGAGAGACCCACAAAATTTAATCACCAGCATGGAGTTGCTCCTAAAAACACAAAAATAGAGAAAACCTCCAATCAAAAATTTAAGGGGAAATTTATCTACTTATCATATATTAAATCTGACTTTGTTTATGTTAGTATGATAAGTATTTCGATGCACACTCATGATGAATCGCACCATCGAGATGTATATCAAATTTCAACTTTGAACAGAACCATGAATAAAGAAACTTTATTCAAGTAAAGGAAGGATTTAAATTTCAAGCTTATATAAATGTCAATTACGCATAGTCAATGATAGATAAAGGGTAAACTTTATGATATTGCATATTATTAGAAAGCAATCTTGTGACTTGTATATGTAAAAATAAAAAAAATTAGTGGTGGTTCCGTACAAGCCTATATTGAATTTATGACACTAGAAATACTATGACTAAAAATTAGCTTGAAAATTTTAATGGTTGAATGAAAAGCTCGTGCAATGCTCTATTGTTAATAGCAATTTATCCCTTAATATTTTATATAAATCCGTACAACATAAAGGAGCTAAGCACATTGACGCTAATAGGCATTATAAAAGGGAAGCTAAGAAGTGGCCTATATATACTCTTTTGTCTTTTGTCACAACGGATGAGAAACTTAGCAGAATTCTCACCAAAGAGTTAAAATAAGCAACAATTCAAAAATTAACATGCAAACTTAGAATGGATAACATCCACAAATTAGTTTGAGGAGAATGAAAAAATCAAATTCCAATAATTGCACCTTCTACATATCTACCTCGACTAGTGTAGTCATGTCCCCCGTATTACTTATTTGCTTCATGCCACGTCACTAATATATGGGATTAACATCGCCAATACAACAATTTATGAACTATCCAAATTTTAATTTATCTAAATTTGAATTTTATTCAAGAATCGTTGTAAATTTCCTATTAGAGAATCCCCTAGACTTATATAAATTTAGCACAAATGATGGAATGAAACACAACAATTTATTTTCAAGTCATTCTCGATTATAATTTTATGTAATATATATAACAAAAAAAAACATATAATATTAAATATCTACAATGATTTTCACTATAATAATATAAAGGTTAGAAGTTCAAGTCACATAAATGATCTCTCCACAAAGCAAAGAACGCATTCAAACCAGGCTATAAAAGGAATTTAGAGCATTAATTATAATCTCTTGCAAATTTCAACTAGAAAAATTCTGATAACTTAAAATCAATCCAATGTCAAATCAGAATCAAATAATTTTGAGTTGAGTCAACTCAACTGAAACAATTTTGATTCAAAGATGAATTAAACATTTTTATTTTAAATTAAGGCAAAATTAGTCTAGTTTATGCTCACATTATCCCCACATCAAACTCTTGACTAAAATAAAATATATGTTTCACATAACAAAACAAGTTACATCATCGATGTCACTAACATTCCATTAGGGTTAAAAAAGGAGATAGTTAGAGTTAATAAAGGTATTTTCTTGGTTAGATGAACCAGGTTATCTGAATTCAGGTTTTGAAAAAGAGAAAAATGAATTTCTAAATATTTAGAGTTTTTATGGCTCTAATCAAATAACACTGATCAAGACTTCCCACACGGTGTATAGTAATCGAAGAAAGGAGTAAGGAGATTTTAGGGTAAGTGAGAAACAAATGGGAATTAGCATCAACTACTGAGAATCCGGTTCAACCAGCAGCTTTCCATAGGAAGAAAGCCAACAGGGATAACTGAAGAAGGTGTAGGAGGTTTTTAGACGTCGTGGAGAGTTCATCACCTTGACTCAATCAAGTAACATACACGCCACCTGAAAGAAACAAGGGATATAGCACTCTAGCAAAAAAAAAAAACAGATTCATTAAAAAAAAAAAAAAGCTGGAAACTCAAACTGGGTTCTAACCACGTGTATATGTTCCCATGCAAAAACAGCTCAAATAATAGCCTAAATAAAGTAAATTGGAAACCCAAGGGGGCTAGAAATGCCTGAACTGGTTGGCCAATTGAACCGGTTCTCCCAGTCTCAGGAATTCTTGCTTCGACCCATCTGGCGCGGATGCCAGCGCCAAGAAAGAAGGTTGATGTAGGCAGGGTAGCCAGCTGGGAGCTGGCACAAGCTTTTTAGATATATTGAAGACTGTTGACAAAACAAAACAAAAGAGCATGATGCTTCTTTATTGTTTTATTAATTGAAGCCTTCTTTCTAAATGCTTTCAGGAAGTATTATATATAGTGAAAAAAAATGAATAAAACTTGCTCAGGCATCTAGATTAGAAAAAACTATCATTGAATACAGAACTGAGGATAAGAATAGAACCTGCTCGTCATACTCCATATTTTGATCTTGGGAAAGTGCATCAGCTACCTCTATATTTCTCTCAGAAATTTGTAAGTTTCTCTCAGACATAGGATGAGAAAATCTGCCAAGAATTTCAGAAGACAGAGAGCTTCTCACTTTAAAATTTGCAGTGTCAACTTCACAGAAATCAGGCCTGTTTACTTCAGTATCTAAAACCACCCTCAAACTCTTGCAAATTCCCTGCATAGTGACTGAAATTTTTTTTAACAAGTGCTGTTGCTCCACACTTCCTTTGCAATTTACAGGAAGAAAGAACTCTAACACAAAATCATCATCTCCAGTGTAGTTGCTCCTTAACCTGATTGCAACAGCAGCCTGCAAACCAAACTTACGTGTGTGATGGACAAGCGGATATTCCCCAATGTCATGCCCTTTAACATCCGGTGAAAAAATTGGATGAGTTGATAAAAGAGCTTTTCCCACAATTCCTTGCCCTTTAGCAAGGTAATGCTCAGCACAGGCTTGCAGAAAACCAAGCATTTGTGAATCATTCACATAACAAGCAGACTCCTGAATGCAAAGCATGCTTTCTTTTAAATATTGCCTACCAGCAACGGATTTATCACTCGTTCCATTATCACATGCCATAGGCATCCAAGTGAGTGCCAAAGGTAGCTTATGTGTATGGCAAACTGCTCTTAGAACATCTAATATCTCTGAAAGTGCAGATTTTTGCTCCTTTGTAAGATTCTGTACATTAGAAAGAGCAATACACTTATAACTGAATCATCTTACCATTCAAGAGACCAAACACTCTGGGGCAGTCTGGTAAAAGATTTATGTGGGATTTAACTAAAATATGCCAGACATAAAAAAGGTCAAGGCAAAAGTTAAATCCTGAATTTAGTAAATCTAGTTCCTTTTCAATTCCTCTCAGTTTTGTCTTAAATCTTGGATTTACTAAATTCTGGTGTTGGCAGGATTAGTAAATCCGGATTCATAGGATTTACTAAAGCTGTTACCAAACAGCCCCAAATAAAAATGCATCCATTCAGTACCTGGAGATGAGCACATGCTTTGGTCGTCCCTAAATCCACAGCCTACAAATAATTGGGCAAATACAAATTTCAGAATTTAACAAATGTGTCCATGGTACATGCTTATCATTCTTTAATAGCCACAAATGCATATGATAACTAATATATAGAATTTCATGCTTCAGGGGTAGGAAATGTTTTATCGAAATAGATGGATGCAAGAAGATAACCACTCTCAGCACATTAGCTAGCAAGTATTCAACTTGGCTATATTGTTTAATAAAAAATTCTATCAAGCATTGAATTATAAAAGAAAATATATCAACAATCAGAAAAATTGCATGCTTGTCTAACAATATCACAAAAAATGGGCTCAAAAGTTAAAATCATATGCAATCAAAGGGATGAAAATTTCAGGAACAAGGCACACACAGTACCACAAGTTATTTCAGAAAATGAAAGATGTTCAACAATTTCAGATTATATAGATTAAACCACTAAGCACCTGCAACGCTCGACAAACATTCTCCATCTCAATATCAAAATTTGACTTCTCTTTCATTGTGACAAGTTCAAGAACTGCACAACACTTGGATTGATGGAGATCAAAAACTGGCACTGCAAGCGATCCACGGACTTGATGGCTAATGGCATGCTCTACCCTCAAGTATTCAAACTTGTTGTAGTAGTGGACATTTGAGGTCCACTCAGGCAGCCCTGAGATGAATACACGACCAGGGACTCCAGGAAACATACCAGGAGTGTCTTTTGCAGAGAAAGTGAAAACCCTAGAAACTTCACGATATCCTGCAAGAACATGATCCAGCAGAAATGGCTGTTCACATGTACTCAAAATATAATTATCACCTTGCTTAACAGGTACCCATACTTGGGCAAGGGTACCCCCGCCTGAGGAAAAAAGCTTTAGCAAGGATAGCACCTTAAGCATCCTGTCGGAGAAAGTAAAATTCCCAATTGATTTGAGAATAACGGTTGAAGTCCTTTTCAGGTCTTTCTCTACCGAATCAAGGTCACCCTCTGCGGAATTCGGTGAAAGCTCTGATTGCAAAACAGGATTTTTAGCTGCCAACTTTTCTCTGAGTCTAGAGTCTCCATCACCAGAGGTCCCTTCATCCTCTAAAACTGAATCCCTAGGTTGCTCCAAGCCACTTGGAGAAATCAAAGTGGCAGAATTGCCAAACATAGGATGCAAAGATGAGTAACTAAAGGAGGAGGAAAGCAAGTCAGAAAATAAAGGACTTGAAGACTCATGAAACCCATCAAAATTCAATAGCCCAGACAAGTTGAGCAGATCCTCCGATATGGGGCTTCCAGCGCCGCAATCCATAGCCATGAATCCTTCCCCACAAGCATTCTTCGCCATCCTTCCTCCTTGCGCCGACTGATGATCCATCCACAAATGCGTAATGTCTTCCCCTGCATCAGCAAATTCAGAGTCACCAACATGGATTCCAGCTTAAGGAAAAGTAAGGGGGGGAAAATATAAATAGATTCCAGCCATATCTCACAGAATCATAAACTAATGCCCACCTAGAAAAGAAAGATCCTTCGCACCAAACCGTCCCAAGTAGCAGCGCCATCCCCAGACCCATTGTAGAAATCACCTAAGACCATTGTGCTGATGTAAAAACTATAAAAACCTGCTCTTTTAGAGAGCGAGACCAATAAATTTTATCTGGGAGAAACGCTGAGGAGTAAAGAACTGTAAAAGAGCTCCCGAGCAGGAAGATGAAGAGTTCACCAGAGTAACGTCGGAAATCGTAAACGAAGGTTCTGGAAGCTTGGCGGGGATGCAAGAGGGTCGCTGAGGAGCTTGAGAGGAAGAAAAGAAGCTTCTTTGATATTCTCGAGCAAGCAGGCTCGAACGCTCCTTGTTACCCTCCCCTTAGAAGATGATGGACATTTCTCGTCTCCAGTAAGCGTCGCGAGAAGAAGAAACAAAGGATAGCACTTTCCGCTCCTGAAGATGCTTATTGATAGTTAGCCGCCAGACGGTTCCGTTTGGATTTTTCAACCATCAAGGAATTTACTTAACAGGATATAAACAATAATTTTAAGGAGATTTATATAAGAAAATGATTATAAATAACTCATAATTATAAGAAAATATTAGATCCAGTTTATTATGTCGGGTAAAATAGACGTGTTGTCTATGACATGAATCGCATCATGTTGTCAGTGATGACCAATATCGTAATTCGCACGTTCAAATGACATACTTAATATTTTCTCCACAATTACAACAATAAATAAACAAATACACTATATGAACAACTTACAACTCAATGAAAATTTAATCAAAGTTTCTTTGAATTAGTAAATAAATAAATTTGAATTTTTTAAGTAATGATGGTTAAATAAATCAAGCTTAAATCTGACTCCTCTTTTATTTGTGTTCAAAATTTATTTATTATTAGTAAGTAATTTGTTAAATACTCTATATTAAATTTATGATTGCATATATCATATATATAATGTATTATTTAAATAAAATTTGATTAATGACAATTTTTTTAATTATATATTTAATTGTAATGTATTTTAGTTTAATAACAATTTTGTGTTAATAATAATAATTAATTAAATGTTTATTATTATTATTATTATTATTATTATTATTATATTTATTTATTTATTTATTTATTTCTTTATTTATTTATTTATATACCATTATTCATTATATTTTATTTTTAAAAAATTTTTTTGGGTAGGGTGAGCAATCGAACCAAGCACTATGGGATTCTTCGCTTTATTTCCTGTCAATGAACTGTGTATTCGAGCATATTATTCACTATATTCAATCCAGCATGCTTTTAAATATTAATTAATTTATCATTATATAAATATATAATATCTATTTTTAATAAAAACCCGTATTGATATAATAGCACATATTTTTAATCATTATGCCTTTCCATGAATCATAGTTCCCTCAACACCGATTCGCTTTTCCACTTTTATAGCTCTGCCTTACTCGCTTCTTTTTTTATCTTATTTTCATGTATCACACAAAATGTTTCTTATCTCTGTAAATATTTATATTTTTTCATTAGTTCATATACCATTGGTGAATATACATATTATATTTTCTTAAGGAATTAGAAAAATGGGTATAATAGTTGGTGGTAGAACCTAGCTAAACCACAAATACAACACACAAAATAAAACTTATGAGGTCACTCCACCAGATAAAGATAAGGAAAATACAAGCATGTTGTGCATTTGAAAAACCTAACAACACCCTAACCCTAGACCAAACAAACATCTACAAGGTGTTGCTTATTCAACATCTAGTGAAAGTCATGTAGTGTGGCAAAAGGGCATATCTATAGGATATTAATAGGCTCATAAAGTCTGACCCTATCCCAAGGATTTGAACAAACTAATTCTTATCAAATAAATGATTTGTTCTAGTTCGCCCAAGTCCTTGGAATGATCATACAAGATTTCGTGAAAATAACATAATTTGTATTGTTCGTATAAACAAGCTTGTAGATAATGCTCATTTTTATATCATTATCTGAGGTCAATTATAAGGTTTTACATGAGTTCCATTATTCGTTATGGTGACTCGCAAACTTAGGCATATATGAAATGAGACATGGACATACCTAAAGGAGGCAAGACACATGCAAGGTATACAAAGTATGGTATGCAGATCAAGTGATTTAGAGGCTAACCCTAAAATGCAACGCGATGGTCAATATGAGATAGCATGCAACACATACATATAAACCATACAGAAATAATGAACATGCATTGTTAACAAAGAAAATGTAGATGATCAAAGAAAATGAGGTTAGTTGCGATGGGGCATAAGAAAAGTCTACCCAACTCGGTGATCTTACATAATGCTACGCACACATGAAAAAATTTACAAACCCATACATTAAATAAACAACACCATTGAGCAGTATATACAACACTATAATGTTACCCTTTTGATATAAGGATCGGAGATCAAGCATAGCATTACTAGAGGCAGAAATGTGGAGTCAGACACTTCCATTTCCACACAGACTAATTTTTTTTCCTAAATTAACTATAAACATCTTACTAGATGCTTTTTAGGGTAATAAGAGATGAATTTATAGTGATTTAATTGACCATGGTAAATTAGCTATAAAGTTAATTGAATTAGTTAGAGGGGAACTGTCATGCTCTATAAGGGCAAAAAAAATGGCCAAAGATTAAGCTCTTAACCTGCAAAGGTTAATGCTTGAACATGTTTGACGTAGCCAAACTTGATTAGAGGGAGAGTGAACTCGTAGTCACTACAGTACGATAAATGTGGTTCATTAATTATGTGTTGACACAAGTTACTATGTTGAGTGGGGCTTAGCATTGCAGCTCTATTAAGTAGTGTCATGACTCTGGGTCTATAAGGCACGGCGTTGTGGTGTTAGGAACAACCTTGTGATTCTCGGCTAAATAGACTCACGGTCTAAGACCTCATTGTTGTCAACAACATTGTGGCTCTAGGCCAAATCAACTCGTGGCGCTTGACCAATTGGGTTTTTGGTGTTGGAAATAGCTTCGCGCCTCTAAGCCAAATCAGTAAGTGACTTAGGATCATAGTGCAAGAAACAAAACTGCAGTTTTTGACAAATAACCCTATGGCTTAGCAAAATAGCATTGAGAATAGTGTTGCGGCCCTAGGCCAGCAACGAACACCGCACCGCGACATTGCATATGTAATGCCACGGATGTACAAAATGAGTGACATGATGTTACAGGGCTTCAAAATGCGGCGTTGTGGTGCCAATTTCAATATAGGTAGAGCATTGCAACACTGCATTGGTAGTGTCATGGCATATGGGTTAAAAATAGGATGTTTTCACTTGATTGCTAGGAAAAATTGTAAGGACAATGGGAAGCTACCCAACCTAGAAGTTTTCTCTAACAATGGGTCAACCTTAACACTCTAAAAATAGGCTAGAGAATCTAGAGAAATAAAAGGAGGGAAGAATATTGAAATACTCATGTACTCAAAGGTTATGATTGATCTCTAATTCATCTCCTTCTACTACCTTGTTTTAGACATAAACATAACTATCATTAGTGAAGGAGTGTTGTGGCTTTGAGATGAAATGAGGGAGAGAAGCTTTCGCATCTCATCGCACCCAAAGGACAATGGGGGAGATAAGGGGTTGAATGAGCTCTAAATACTCGAATCGATATCTACCCTTAAGCAGTAGAAAAATACAATTTTCATAGAAGAAAATCAAGTGCAGCACTGCGGTGCCATGTCTACAGTATTGCGGTGCTGGTGACATGTTAACACCACATGAATTGGCCAAATGATAGACTTTTCTATCACATTGACGCACATCAGCCAACACACTATCATTTTTTTTACTGTTGTAGTGCTAAGGAAGCGTAGTACTACACTATTGACATGACACTGCCATGACGACATCCATCATTATGTCTTGCCCAATCAAAACCATTTGCATTTGAAATGCATTATTTGATGAATTTGTCACTTACATAAAATTACATTGTCATTAATGTAACATTTTGAGGAATTTGTCATCTTAGATAACATTACGTTTTCATTAATGTGGCATTACAGTGTTGTTGATATGACAATGTCACGTCAACCGACCAAATCATGACTTGGCCAATCACGGGATGCACTTGGAACATGGGCATTGACTCTACCCACCATGCGTGACATCTCAACTTGGATAGTAGGCATTGTAGCCCCTCGGGTTAAATCAAGATAGAGTTCTCAATGTTGTGGCTCCAAGATTGTAGCACCGTACTGCTATCGAAGGCATAGTGGTGCTAATGGACTATACTATAGTTCCAATCAAAAAACCTTACAACCTAAAAAATAAAAACTCTCAATACCATCGTGATGGTGGAGAATAGTTCTAGGAAACTATGGATTCAATAAAACACATTTATTTCACCTTTATGTCACACTTGAAAAATCATGCCACGACATGCCAACCTCTGGGTCATTCCCTCCTAGGCATACCCTTTTCTTCAGATCGTTGTTGTTGCAAAATCACTTCCTCCTCGACATACTCTTTTGTTCAGGTCGTTGTTGTCATGGCATGTCCACCTCAGAATCACAGCCTCCAAGGGCATACCTTTTTGTTCGGGTCGTTGTCAGCATAGCATGCCTGTCCTTCAGGTCGCTGTCTCCTCAGCATACCCATCTATTGTACAATTGTCTCCACTACATGTCCGTCCTCTATGAGTCACTGCCTTCACGGCATGCATTTTATCACCACTTTTGTTATATGCTTGTTGCATATCTTGCATGTTTGCAAGTGTGCTCGATGAGTGCCTCTTGGGTAAGGTATGAATCCTTTTTATATGTATCATTTTACTCAATGCAAACTCACTTGTAGCCGATGTGTCGCATGTCACCCCAGGTCCCTCAGACAGGCTTAATTCCTCTTCATAGATAGCATGTTTTACCAGTACATCTCGTTCGTGTGTGTCATTATTACATGTAACATTCTTGCATTCATTTGCATGATGTGTGCTTCGCCCATTTGGGCGCTCATTGTGGTTGTTCTGTAATTTGATCGAAAAATCAAAATGTAGGCTTCTTTTATGCTTATATGCTTTCCCATTTGCCTCGATGACTGTCCTACTCAATAAGAGAGTGACCCGTTTATTGGTCGTGATACACAAATGAGTGTTGCCCATGAGGATGCCTCCATGAGTAGTGTCAATTTTTGTATCACGAGATACAAACAATATAACTGTTCTGAGGATCTAAGGGTTCTAAGGTGTGTCATATGCATCATGGACCCGCATCGTAGTCCCGCTATTTTAAAAGTATAAAAATATTTTTTTTGTTATTATTAGTATACCCATTTACTTTTAAAATTGTATAAGTTAGGTCATATGTGACGCCACTTATTTTAAAATGTCACCACTTTTTGTGACGTGTTTTAGATCCCTTTGATCTTTAGGACGGGGTTAGTGTGGTGGCCCCGTCAAAGTCATTCGATAGCTAGAGACTTTACCCTGTGCACTTAGGTGTTAAGTTAGGATATTTTTCGTTAGATGATGTGCTAGGCTATGATCTAGGTTGCAAGGTAGTCTTTTTGATATATGATTATTTTTCCTTGTTAGATTGGTTGCTCTAGCCAGACATTTTTTTTTTGTTTTGTTCTTTTGGTGTGCCGACATGCTTGATATGCATGGTAATGTGTTAGGGCGTTCTTCTGCAGGGAGTCATGTTTTTAAATGTGCACACACATGTACTTCATAAGAGGGAGCATGTGATCATTCATTTGTTAGTGTTTGCTTGCAGTTGCTGCTTAGCTCCCCCACCAGGAGCGGCTCATTATACGTTGCATGGCTTTACCCGCTAACCATATTTTCTATGCAGGTCGAGCATTTTTATCTTTTTCTATGTATTTTTGGAGTCCTAGGAGAGTTTTGTAGCAAAAATAAGATACATGCATGAGTTCTGAGGTTCTTTGATGCGGGAACCATGTGGAGAAGACCAATAACAGATGCTCGTGTCCCGTATCTTAATTATGCATTTCATATTGATGTATAGAATTAGGACCGAACATGTATATGCGGAGTTCGACAGTCTTTTTCTTTTCTAGAATATGTTGCTGACCCACTCACACCGACCTTTCTTATTTATTTTCGACAGTCTTTTTCTTTTCTAGAATATGTTGCTGACCCACTCACACCGACCTTTCTTATTTATTTCATTTGACTTGTTTTCTACCTTATTGTGTGCCTGCATGCTTGGATTTTTTTTTTGTTTATTTTTGTGGTTTGTCTGTAAATCACGATGCAATATAAGCTCATTAGGACAAAAAAATCTATTTTTCTGTAAAATTCTAAATAAAATATTCAAGATTATTAAAATTTAGGATTAAAATATTTAGGCCTTTAAAATATGCATTTTACTTTCTTGCATGGCCTTCGGGATGGATTTTAAATGGGCTGCATTACATAGCTATAACTCAAGTTATTTAATAGAGCCTCCATAATATTTAAGGACCTCTCTAGATAATTACATTCATATTTCATCTCCTGATGAGAAACGTCCATGTTTTCTCAACCTAACTGACCCATCATACTTTTTATATATGGGTGCTTGACTAGTGAGTCTAAAGTGTTAGAAGACTCCCCAACCTAGATGGGGTGTAAGTCTTTTTGTTTGGAGCATTTTTAGCTTTATATTTGAACATTCTCTTCTCTCCTTTCCAGAGGCATTCTTGCCACTTTGGTAAGTATAAGTCCCTCATCTTAAAATTCTAGTTATTGTCACATGATAGAGTTTCCTTCATTTGAACTTAGGGGAATCAAGATCCCATAGACGACGTAATTCACGGATTAGTGACTATAACATGTTGGACCGAATATACTTAGGCCTTGATTGGGGGCGCGACTGTAGGGCTTCGTGGCACTCCACCGCTAATCTCTGCTCTTTGAGAGCGCGGCAGGAAAACTTCGCGGCCACCGCACTAGGAATTTTCGCTAAAAGCCGGTCGCGAGATCGCCCCGTGGCCGGCGTTCCGCAATTCTATTTTTGCCCAGTTGCCCTTCGATCGTTCTGTCGTTCGAGTTATTACGTGAAATCAAGCTCCGCCCCTTCCCCCTCCTTCTCTCGCGTTTGTTTGTTTGTTGGTCATCTTATCCGACAGTTCGACAGTTCGGCTCGTTCGTCGGTCCTCTCTGGCAGTTCGGCTTGTTCGATTTTCTTCCTTTATCTACCCATCAAAACGAAGACCTGTCCATCGGTCTCCTTCCTTTTCCATCCTCTCCCTCAAAGCTGCGCAGCCCATCGAAAGGTCGTTGTGACCTCTGTGGATCGAGCGTTTTATGCCGGAAAAGGTAAGGTTGCTTGACTGTTATCCATTTCAGTCTTTCGTTGAATCTGTGATCTCCAATGAAAACATTTGCTTACAGAAATTGCAATCGATCTCTTTGGTCAGTGGACACCTTCGACCGTGGAGATCGAAGAAGATTGTGTTTGTCTCTGCAGCGAAAACAGTGCGCCTCTTGAGCTCTTTACATTTGCTTCTTCTTTCTTTGCCTTTTTTTGCCTCTTTGGTCTGATCTGTCCCGTTTCTTTTCTCTGCCAATTTTTTTTAAGTTAGTTAAGACTTTTCTTTTATAGGCAACTTATAACTTGTTTGAATGTGAGGCATGTGGAGACAACTAAATTTGTAGCATCTTGTGATTTTGTGCTTGATGTTAAAATAAAAAACATGTTGCCAAGATTGATTTTTATTGTATTTCATTATAGGAATTTGAGGCTGTGTTGTCTTGGAAAAACACTAGTGAATCAGAATTTACTTACTACTCATTGGCCTCGAACATTATTTTTTATTTCACTGTTAATTGCTTGGAACTTTCTTTTAATTTAGGTCTATTAGTTGTGGAGGAGAATAGGAGCATATTGGCAGAGTGAGAAACTTTGATTCTTTTTACTGGTCTCTTGTAGTTCTGCTTTTTGAGCAAACTCTATTTAATGGTGTTTCGATGTTGGATGTTTATTGAAAGCCAAAGTATCAGTTTGCTTTGGAATACAAAAACTCTTGAGATTTGTTGTTAAATTTGATGAACTATGAGATTCAGGAGCATCAAGCGCTAAAATTTAATGGAATGTCCAAGATGTTTGGAATATTCGATATAAACTGTGTGATGCAAATTATCTTTCATGCTTGGATTTGTATATTTCTCTTTGAGCATTAAGTTCAGCAAGCACATTCTATCATATTGAAAAATCATGATTTTTATTCCTTATTTATTTTTTCTTAAATGGCCAGAAGATGTTTTGTAACATATGATAGATAAAGCTAATTTTATGGTGATTCTTAGTGCTCTTTATTTTGTTCGTGATTTTTATGGTGGGTATGATGCCAAAAGTGAAATTTCATATTTACTATTACAATGACACTTTATTAATTTATGTTTCATCCATTTAAAGCTTCCATAAATCCTTTCTAGAACATCTTAGTCAGCCTTCCAAAACCAAAAGGTGAGGAGTTCAAGAAATACTTCAGCTTACGTGCTCTGAAGGATTCAAGGATTGGTAACTATTTATATTTCATCTTGTAAGAATCTTTATTTTTCTCGGATTTATTTACTTATTTCAGATGTATAATGGTGATCTTTTATAAATCTTTTGTGATAGTGTTTTTTTCATCAGAGCTATGTCTTTATGATCGTGACTGGTTTTGTCATTAATCAATTTGTTTATCTTTTATACATCCTTTGTGATAGTGTTTTGTCATTAATCAATTTTTTATTTTTTTTTACACAAATTTTTTTGTTATGTTACAATAATTTAATTTATTTTAGCAATACAATGACTAATATTATCAAAGATACCAGTACAACGACAATATGAGAAAAAGAAACAACATTATTATTTTGTGACCTCTGCCTTAAGGAGATTAAACTTGGAAATAGAACCACAACCTATTTTAATATGAAAGAATGACAACATATTATCAAAAATTTCAAGGAAAGTATGGACAGGGTGTATAACAGGTTGCAAATGAAGAACACTGGGATCGACTCAAGAAGGATTGGAAAATTTGGAAGGAATTGAAACGAGAATCAACAGGCTTGGGTTGGGATCCTGCGAAACGAACAATTGATGCTTCAGATAAGTGGTGGGCTGAAAGACTTACGGTGATCAATTTATCATTCATATAATTTTATTTATTTTATTTTTTAGTACTGATTGAAGTGTTTAATATGATTTTGTAGGTGGTGCTGGGAGCAAAGAAGTACAAATTTTGTGGCATTGAACCCGAGTTTGAGGAGAAGCTCAACCGAATGTTTGAGGGTGTCATCGCAACACGCAAATATGCATGTGCTCCAAGTGATACAAGGATTTGTGGTACCCCTGAGAATGTGTCTGTCAACCTAGCTTGTGATTCACCCGATCTCGACAGCCCGGAAATCCCTGAAATCAACACAAGAAACTTTTCTAAGCGTCATCGTGTAGAGGGTAAAAAAAAGGGTGGAGATCACTTCCTAAGCTTAAAAAAAAGCTTAAAAAACTTTTCTAAGCTTTTAGAAATTTGAGTGTTATAAATGTAAGTTTTTTATGGAGGGGAATTCAGTTGTGAAACATCTGAAATGTTCCATACATTTGATATGCTTTCAAAAATTTTCATTCAGTTTGAAGGTAGCTATTGTTTATTCTGTAGAGTTCCTTTGTTTCCTCTCATTATCACATTTGCTAGCTACAACCACATATATTTTGTGAAACACTAATGTTGTTGATTGTAATTCTATTTTTATTGATAAGACCACTTCCTATTGTGATGTTTGGTGCTTCTCCCATCAATCAGGAGGCTTAGCCATTCATTTCATTATTGTAAGAGAAAATACAATTTTGTCTATTCTATTGTTTTATTTTGTCCAGTTTGATGACTGAGAACTTTTGTTTCTTGGATGCAAATTATATTTTTGTGGAGTTTTGCTTTGAAGGGGTATATGGGCCAAATTCATGATAATTTCTATTGCTTCTGATGTTGCTCATACTGATTATTGGGTCGAGATGCAAATATTTCATACAAGGGTTTTTATGTGTTGCTCATGGAGGTATTGAAAACATATTTTCAAACTGAAATCTTATACCATACAAAAATCTGAAGAGTTTGTCCATATTTTCATACAAGGGTGTAAGCTCTGCAAAATGGTTGTACAATGCAGATTTGATCTCCAATCTGGAGTACATCAATCTGAATGGGTTAATTTGTGTAGGATCTGATGGCAGTACAAGAGTTGATTTATTTTTAATGCTATGAAAGATTTGGTTTAATTTTAAGCATGAAACTTTGTTGTTTTCATTGGAAGGTCTTCTCAAATTGGTATCATTTCTATATATAAAGTTGGTTTCCTTGTCAGTTTTTTACTGCTGCTAATGAATTATCAGTGGTGAGATTGAACGTTTGTCAATGATTTGAATGTTGGTTGTAAAAAAAGCTGATGTCTAGTTTTGAATAAAGATAAAATGGAGTAACTGGATCAGTGGTTTTAAAGTTCCACAACGGCTAATGAAAATCTGATGTTTTTTAAAGATTTTTTAGGCTAAGAAATCGTGTTGCTGATTCAAATCTATTGTACATGTAGTTGATGCATTCATCTGATCTTCTTTTCGGAAACATAAATGTGGCACAAATGGTTGTTAAGCACGATGATTATCATGTTCCTTTGTATGGTTATTTTATATTTGGAAGTTTTACATACCAACCACTTAATTCCTATGCATTTACGTATCTAACATCCAAACTTCAAATTTTGCTTATATATAGAAGATATACTTGCTAGGCTTTGAATTTTGCTGTTGTGAATTTCTAATTGGGTTGTGAGCTATGCTTATCTTCATGAATTGAATACATTGAATTTTTCTTTAATTTGCACTCTATGTAAAGTGAAGTTTAGGTGTAAAGTGAAGATTTATATACCAACCATATGGGTGGTATAAATGAAAGAATTGGATGGTATAAAGGTATAAAGTGAAGTTTAGGTGTTATATATGTAAAAACATAGGAATTGGAGGAAGTTTCAATGTTTATTCTAACTGCATTACCATGAAGTTTTCAATGTTTCTTCTAAATGCATTACCATGAGCTTCCAAGCCCTGACGTCCAACTTGGTTTGGATTTGCTGAAACCTGTGGCCTACGAGGCTTGATTAAGAGAAAATGCACCAATTTGCTGTGAAAATAAGTGCTGAGTTTGTAGGAGAAGGTATTGTTAATGCTGCTATTACTGTCTTTCCTTCTTGGCTGTTAAAGCTTTTACCTCTCTTATCTCCTTTACTTCAAGAGATTCTCTTTATGAAATTTTAAGCATCTCTATTGCTATTAATTCTGCTTGCTGTGAATAATTATTTGGGGAAAACGAGAAAAATATTTGGAATATCAATTTATTATTTTTTTGAATGGCCAAGGCATCGAGGATGGACTTGTAAGGAGCTTCTTACTCCTCAGGCAATCCATAGACAGCCATGTTATGAGACAAGGGTGTGAGCTCTACAAAATGAATGGTAAGGTTTATGTGTTTCCATCCTTGGAGGTGTCTATCATTTCTCCAGCCTCTTCATTTGAAGATATGTAAATACATAAAAATTGTGCTCAATCTGCTCTTATTTGTTTTAATTAATGTAATCTTTACTTTCATCTTTTTTTGAGATATCCAAAATAATACCATATTTTTAATGTAATATTTGTCTGTTGTTTACTATTGCATTTTATTATGCGACCCAATTCTTTCGTAAGACCTCCAAAGTAATATGCAATATTTATATGTTAGATATGTAAATATATAAGATTGTGTTGCATATGTGTTTTTATTCCTAAACAGAAGTTGTTAACACTTTGGGGTCTTACTGAAGTTCCAAAATTATGATTGTTATACTCTTTTTTTCAACAGTTTTTCTAAATAGTGGTAGTGTAGTCTTTTTTCCACAATCTTTTTTTCACAAACAGCTGCCCGACAGTTGGTTTGGCACAGCTACACCAAACAGACAAACAGCTTCCCCGCAGCTGCTTCCTCACAGCAGCTTTCTGGGGCAGCGCAGCTGCAGCTGAAAAACTGAGAAACTGCAGCTGCTCCAAACAGATTCTTAGCTATAAATTCTCAGCTTTTCAACTGCAGCTGCGATGCCCTAGGAAGTAGTTGTGGGAAAGCAGCTGTGAGGAAGTTGACTGTCTGTTTGGTGCAGCTGCGTGAAAAATGCTGTGAGTCAGCTGTTTCATGTAAAAATGACCAAACTGCCCCTGTTTGATAAAACTGTTTAAAATTTTTGATTTATTTGTATAAATATGGGTTTAATGTACATAAAATTTATAAAAATATTATTTCTTAATTAATTAAATGAAATATATTGTTTTTAATATTCATTTTTATAAAAATTTATTAAAAAAAAATTGTAATTTTGAAAATATATAGGTTTTAAATTTATATTTATCTATATATCAATGTATACAAATATTTATTCGTCTATACATATAAAAATTTAGAAACATATATTTTAGAAGCATAAAATTAATTCTCCATTTTGAATATTTTAAAAGTTGATATAATTTAGAGTATTTACATAAATACCACATATTTCATGTCTCAACATATTAGACACCTAAACTTACATATTTTCTTGGATAACACAATTTTTTAACATCATATAGTGCATGACAATCTAAATAGCTTCCAGTGTCAATAAGGTAACTTCTACTACGAAACACTCGTAAGTTACAATTATTTTGTCTTTCTAACAAATTGCAAATCAATCACATATTAACCAATGCATTAGTAATTTGTTCTCGAATGGCCGTCATTTCAGTCGCACCTTCCCCTTCCTTAGTACAAATGGTTGATTGTTCGCTGTCATCTCGTATCATAGAACTACCAATTTGATTTTCAGATGGGTCTTCAACTATTTCCTGTTGGTTTGCTTCGGCATTGAGGAAATCAACGTCATATCTAGACGGGTGCCGCCTAATATAATTGTGTATTGTCATTGTCGCTATCACAATTTGAACCTGTTTTGGAAATGGGTAAGGAGGCATATCACGTAATATCACCCATTTCTTCTTCCAGACACCAAATATCCTCTCGATGACGCCTCGCAAAGAGGAATGTCTTTTGTTGAATACCTCCTTTCTGGTTCGTGTGACATTACTTGCTCGTTCAAAGTCAGGTATATGATATTTGGTATCAGGATATGGTTTGAGATACCGTCGCTGCAACGGATAACCGAAATCCACCAGATAATACTTTCTTGTAACGTGTTTAACCTTCATTTTCACATTTACAAAAAATACAATAAATTTTTTCCTAGATGCAACATACCTTAAGGAGGACGGGGAAAGCTATAATGCGGATTCCGTGTTGCACTCTTGAAAATTCTGCTGTCATGTGCACTACCCTCCCAACCTGGCATAATAAATGTGAAACACATATTAAAGTCACAGACTGCCATGACATTTTGGGTCGGGGTTCCACTACGTCCGATAAATGCAACTTTCTCATCATTTGACACACGTGCATCAACATGTGTTCCATCTATCGCACCGATGCAATCCTAAACATGTGGCGTTAGTAATTCATTAATTAATGTCATGCTTTCATGTTAAATTTTATTAATATAAGATTAAATTTGTACCTTAAAGAATGTCATGTAGCGTCGATCGTGGCGAATCTCCGTAGGAGTTTGTGAAAACGTTGAATTTGTTGGCTTTATGACTTGTTTGGCGAGGCTCACCAAAGCACTCAAACCCACTGAGAAGTACCTGCTAATGGTCTCTGATGAGTCTTGGAAGCGTTCCATCACACCACGCATTGACTCGTTCTATGATAATATATAAAGAGTAATCGCCAATACCTCACGGTCAGTCATCCTCATAGACCCATGGAGGCCATGAGAGCCCACTGAGATGCCATGAGATCCAATGAGTTCTGCTAAAAGATCTGTAAAAACATCCTGTGTCATGCGGAACATGTTGTGAAATCTTGTGGGATGCCCGGCAAGCATTTCTGCAACCCATTTGTCTCCAAAATGTGATGATGTGTAACATGAAGAACGGTCAATGTATGTGTTGTAGTTCTCTACAAGCAAGTTGATAGCTATGTTTCTCCTTCTACGACGTACTTCGTTTGGGTCCATAATGATGTATACTAGACATATTTTGACAAAGAAAACTAAATTATTAAGCTAATTATCACTATGAAAAGAAGTCTATTATTTAACCTGTGACAAGTAATAACACTGTGACAAGTAATAACACAAGTGTGACAAGTAATAACACAAGCATTCAGTGTAGACCAAAGTAATGGAGTTCTAAGGAATTTTTACCAACAAATTAGATTTTCGCAGTTTTAATAAAGATAGTTAGATCTAAAAAACTAATTAAAATGAAAGGTCTCAATAACAACAGTTCAAATAACCAGGTCTTCTCATAAACTGTTTAGATAAGCACAAAGTAAATACTAAAGTAAATACTAAAGATCTCCATTAAAGAACTCCATTCAGATTTTCCTACGCTCATAAAAATGTCGCAGATACGACACCCTTCGGTCTTTGTCAATTGCGGTGAAAAAATCTCTCTGCACCGAATCTTGAAGCAGCTCAACAGCAAAGTAGTAAAGCTCATCATCCGTTGCAATACTCGGATCTTGCTCTAAAATTGCCACAACCTCGTTAATTGACGTTTTCTGCACT